CAACTGATTATTCCTACCTTACTTTCTGTCAGCACCATGCATTAACCATCTGTTGTGTGCCAGAAGTTGTATTAAAGGTTAAGGTTATAAAGACATCATCTTCTAGGCTAGCAGTTCTCACAGCTAGTCATTACTTACCTAAAGAATTAATCTTTTAATCATCTAATTTAGCCAAAAGTAATTTCCTGAACACCAACCATGTTCTTTGTGTCGTGACTGCATTTTCACCTTCATTCTTCTGTTGTTTTTCAGGGCACTTTGTCAGTGATGCTGATCTTTGCCTTCCTCCAGGAACTTGTGGTAGCTGGCATCGTTGAGAATGAATGGAAACGCACGTGCTCCAGGCCCAAAGCTGTAAGTGGTAGCCACTCTGTACATAGCCTTTCTCTAGAAAATTCACATCTACAAAGGATCATTTATGGAGAACGTAACCTCATAAGACTTTGAAAAACAAGGATCTTCATATAAATGGTCTTTGGTGTACTTCTAGAAAGAAAGAAAAATACCAATAGTGAAGAAAAATGTCTTGAAATGTGACATGAGTCTGTAGGTAGAGGGCATAGTTCTGTAATAGAAATTAGCATCTTCTCACTAACCCTCCCTACTGTTTGGCTTCAGGCTTCCATCTTGACTTCATGGTTCCATATGCAATGTATAAAATCAGGATTTTTAAAGGTTGAAAGCTGATTAGTCACTGGTTCTTTGACTTCATTTCCCAGGGTTCCCCTTGTCCTCCCCTTTTCACCTTATCCTCTTCCAAAACAATAAGTTCAAAGAGGCTCCACAATTGGGAAATAGGAATATCCCAATGATAGACCTATTGTCAACTGCTCAGAACCAGATTGTTAGATTCAGAATAGAATTTAGAAATTATTCCTAATTCCTTTGCAGATGAGGAAAATGGGATTAGAAAGAAAATTACTTTCCCAGGATTATATTCACTGAAGGCAAATCAGAAATAGAATCTATGATTCCAGTGTTCCCAATACCACATGATCATTCCAGGCACAGTGACAAATGTCAACTGTCCTTGAGGATTTACTGAGACTTGAGTTTTAATAAGCAGTGAGTGTTTGATAACAATTTGAGCACCTGGAAAATCAATCCTGGCATTTGGAGGCATATAGTAAACAAAATAAGTAGCATAAAAACTAGGACATATTTGATAAGTATTTGTAGAGACTGCTGAGAAAAGTGTTAATGGTAAAAGTCAAGAAAAGTTTAATTTTGTGTTGTAGAACGTGGTTCTCCTGTCAGCTGAAGAAAAAAAAGAACAGGCCATTGAGATAAAAGAAGAAGTAGTTGAGCTAACTGAAATATCTTCCCAACCAAAGAATGAAGAAGACATTGAAATCATTCCAATCCAAGAAGAAGAAGAAGAAACAGAAATAAACTTTCCAGAACCTCCTCAAGATCAGGAATCCTCAGCAGTAGAAAATGACAGCATTCCTTAAACTATTTTTTCTGTTTCCTTTTTAAGCATTAGTGTTCAGAGCTTCTAAAAGACATATTTACCTTCATTTCTTGAGGTACTGTGCACTTATCCTCCACCTTTCTATCCGGTCTCAGCACAGAGTGGCCACAAATCCTTCTCTCTCACATTCAGAGAAAGTAGCCATTCTAGTGAATTGTGTTGTCATGTTTCTTGATTGGGGCAACTGTGTTACATTGAAAAAAGGTATAATTGCTGTAGAATGTGTTTTCCCACTAACCTTTTCCTTGGGTAGGCTTTTTAGTAGTAGTATTTTTTTTTCATTTCTTCCATCAGCAACAGGGAGACTCTGTACCTGATATATGACTGCTCCATGCCATCCGTAAACTATCTTTAATTCCTTCCACATCTACATTTTTGGTGGAGTCCCTTTTGCGCTATTGTTTTAAGGATGATAAATCATAATAATAATGGGATAGCTTCCTTATTGCTCCTCATCTGTCTTTCTATGGGGCTGACAATGTGGCACATTTTTAGATCCTCCA